TTTAAATAATAAAGTGCATATGCAATTAAATTTGTCAACATTTGATGAGCTAAAGATTTCGTCTGTAAGTTGATTGGTTTTTATTTGCAGTTCGAATTCTATGTAGTTATATAATTATATACTCTCTACGCTCAAAATCTACTAAACTCATATGACCGTACTCACCTCGGTGCGTTCGATGATCAATGCGGATGACGTCAATGCAACAGCCAAGAAGAACACAATGCTATAAATCCATAAAGAAAAACAGAAATTAAAATATAAATAGATATCATTAAATGTTGCTGAAAAATATGGTAGTTAGCGAGCTCAAAAGGTATGGAAAGACTTTCCATTTCCATACCGGAAGTCCGCACCCAACCCCACCAAACCACTACTTACGTCAATATCACACCAGGTGCAACAAAATCTGTAAACGACGGATTCATTGTGCCATAAATGGGTTCTCTAAATTGAATAGGCACATCACCAAGTTTGGGATTATTGCCACATTGCTCCAGCAACGTCATGGCAAAGTCCCGATAGGCCAGTTGTATGTCACGATTCAGCATAACTCCGATTTGCTGATTGGACATATCCAGCCACACTTTAATTTCCGACTGCTCAATGGTCTCATCGTCAGCGTCACGTCCTTAAGCGGCAATAAAGGTATCGTAAATGATAAGTAAATTAGTTATTTTGCTGTAAGCAATTCTTTGATCATACCCAAGGCTACGCGTGCCACAAATGCATCCGTGAAGTTCTCCGTTATGTAGAGCACACCCCAAGCTTTGCCTACACGCACCGCATCTTTAGCTTCCTCCAGTTTCGTGTAGTACGTTTTGTCCATAGTGTCGTTCAGATGGCTCAAATAACGGCAGCCGAGATTCGTGAAATGGCAAGAATCCTCCCAATAGCAGATATTCTAGAAGGCGAAAAGCAATGAAATGCATTTGGGGGGTTTAATAATGAACGATAATAGCTCAGAGGAACTGGAAACTATTTAGTATATTAGAAGATTGTAAAAAATCTATAGGTACTCACTGTATTGTTCATTTCACTGTTAACGATCGCCAAGTTCAAACCAGTCGGATCGCGTCCAATTGCCAAACAGAAGAGTATCACCTGCATTACGGGCAATGCAAAGATGAACAGCATTACGCCAACATTGCGCCACATGCGCAGGAAATTTTTGGTTAGCAGTGCTTTCATTTTGCCTTTAGTTGTGACCTAGATGGAGTGCGGGCAGGAATTTATTTTTCATAAGATTAGGCGCAAATTTCTGGGGATGTGGCGGAGAAGAAGTTTTCGCTAAATATTACGCACCTTGCATAGATTCGCATAGCAATCCTGGCAGCTTTCTTCATCTTTGGGAGTGTTGCGTTTCATGGGCGGCGTCGGGTCATAGGGTTCTTGATTCAACTGTGTGTGTGCAAAAATAGTGATTGTGTTTTTTGTTGTTGTTGTTGTTTTAATGTAAAATACAAAGAAAATGAGATGAAATAGTTTATTTTTCTGGGTTTGGACCTTAGCTATCGCAAATCAGCTGCGGTAAAATTCTACTGAACTGCATGAAAGTGAAGCAATTTTTAGCAAACATTCTTAATTCAATCAAATCGGCGCTTAACTATGATTTTCAGAAAACTTCCTGGTCAACAATTTTACAAAACATGATGTAGAAAAGCTAAGCTAAGTCCTTAGGCCGTTCTCAGTTTAAAAGAGTTTACTGTACAGTTTGCTACTAAGTCATGCCCACCAGCCTTTAAAAAGCTCTCTGTACAATTATATATGTATGTATGTATGGTTGACGACGAGAGAGAGCTTTTACTATACACGCATTGATAAAGATTGTGCATAGGCCGGTGATGCTTAGAGATAGCTTTTACTCTGTGCACATTAGGGTGGTCCAAAAACAGTGAAGTCGGAATTGTGATGCTCTCACCCCCTGGGATTGTTCTACATCGAAAAACAGTATACCCCTATTTTTTTATTTTGTAATCAAAAAATATTTAGAGGTCGCTCAAAGCGCTCAAAGTTTTCCATGTGTTTTTATATAGGAAAAATAAAACTTTTCGTAGAAATGGTATAGAATTCTTGAAAATCAATATTTTTCGATCGAAAAACTATGATTCTCTTCAGGAGACTTTCCGTTATATTATCCAATTGTTTATTTAACCATTTTTTAATACTAACAATTTTTTATTAGTCGCCCCATTGCATTTGTCGCGGTTTTAGTGGGTTTTTGGCGGACCTATAATTTATAGTTGCGATGAAAAATGGTTAAATAAACAATTGGGTATTATTATTGGGAGTCTCCTGCAGTTAAATAGAGTTATCTGGTATAAAAGTATACCATTTCAACGACCTCTATCGCTTTGAGCGACCTCTAAATATTTTTCGATTTCAAAATAAAAAAATAAGGGTATACTTTTTTTAAATTAGACAGTAATGAGGCCTTATCGATTGTTATCACTTCAGCCCCAAATGCTTTACAATAGTCTGGAAAACGTAAACTCTAAAGACGATTCTCAGAATATGCCCTACAACCGAAAGTCGAGCAATGGCCTTTAGTGGATCCAACCATAACTTTTTCAAAAGTTTAAGATTCAGTAGAGAAAGAAGTTCATTGTTAATTCAGGAATTCATTTAAGGGTTTTAGTTATTAACTTCAGTTTTTTTAGGGGATCGAGAGTGACATAAATTTGACTTTTTTTTAACTATTTTTTTACTTACTTACTTTTATCATTTGAAAGATATTCTAGTTATGTATTAGCATGTATGAGTAGATGAAAAACTTTAAAAATTTTATATTTTAACAAACCGTAAAGACCGATCCATTTGTTTCGCTAATCAGCACTTCTTTGCTCTGATGGAAATTCAATCCGACCACACCTCCTTCTTGACTCGAGCCGGGCTTATCCATTTTACTGCCGAATGCCATGGCGTGTAATGAAATATTATTACTGTTAGTCGAAAGTCACGAGCATTTAATTATAAACATTAACAACAATCACAACAGGATGGATTATTATTTTTTTTTTTTGTAAGCCGCATGAATCGAATAATGATCACCAACCGATACACCAACGCATAAATCGAGCGATGAGTCACAAAATACGCATTCGATTACAAATACGAGTAGATATAGGTATATGTGTATGTAATTGTTGCGCGCACGCACGCACGCACGAACGCAGGCACACAGTTGTGTGAATCCACAACCACACAACAACAACGATAGTGCCGACAGCGATTGCGAATGGCACGCACGAATGCAGGATGAGTTGTGAGAATGCATAAAATATGTGAAAAAATAAGGAAAAATAAAAAACAAAATCGTAAAAATATATTAATTATTTTTTACATGCTGGCAAGCACGATGCTTTGAATGCTGGTTAGCAACAACAACAATGACAAACACACGCAAATACAAAATGTGAGCGAACGCACAGTGTGTCGTGCAGAACAAGCAAGGTGGACAAAATTATTTGCGGATATAGTATGTATTTGGGATATACCAATTCTGGCAACTATCTCTTTCCAAAATACGGATTGAAAGATCTTCTAGCCTTATTCTGCATAGACATGCATAGCAATAAGT